TCTTTCCAAACCTTCTTTTGTGTGCCTTGCTGAGGCCTAATGAAAAGCTCTATTGTGCAGCCTTTTACTAACTCTCTTTTCACAAATCTGGCTGAGAGAGGAATGTGAATAAAAGGCACAAGCAATTAAGGCGGAAACCTCATCCTTTTTTCATGATGTATTTAGAAAAATGGGAGGAAAAAGTGTGCATTGATCAGAGGGTTGCACTTTATAACACACACACACATACACACACACACACACACACCTGACAATCTTGATATGAGCACCAACTCTTCAACAAATTTAAAATGTTATTATAAAACATTATTTTAAAAGGAACTTAACAAACTTAATTCTGTTTTAACAAACTAAACTCTAAAGCTTTAAGGCAAGTAGCTTATCTTTTGAATCTATGATTCAAGTAATCACTTTAATAATGTCTTGTGGGCACATTCATAATAAAGAAAACATTTAATGCACTTTAAACACACACACGCACGCACACACACACATATATATTTTAGAGAGAGAGAGATGGACACATCGATGAGAGGGAAACATCAATTAGCTGCCTCCTGCACACCTCTACTGGGATCAAGTCAGGAACTCTGGCAAGTGCCCTGACCAGAAATCGAACTGGTGACCTCTTGGCTCCTAGGTCAACACTCAGCCGGGCCTAATGTACTTTTTAAGTTACATAAAATATTGGTACCTTTATTATTCCACAGACAAATGTTTATAAAAATAAAAAGAAAACAGAAAATAGATAGTTTCTTCCCAAAGGTTTCTATTTGTGAGAACATATAAAAAAGTAAATCTTAGTAATTAAAAATTAACCTTAAAGTTTTAATATATATAATCTATAAAAATATAGACACACACATGTACATATATATATACACATAAGGAGGACTGTAATGTATATTTTTGATACAAAACTTTTTTCCACTTTGCAAAGAGGTGCAACAGACATTTTGCATAGAGCCCAAATGTATGCAAACAAATACGTACATTATTATTATTTGAATGTGAACATAGCAAATAATTTAAAATAACTAGAAAACAATTTTCTAATATATAAGACATGTATTGAAAATCCAATTTGTGAAAAACTTATTGAATATCAAATGTATGAAAAGTATACCTGACAATAACTCAGTTAATATATTCATTCAAAAATATTTATTTAGTACTTGCTCTGTTGTTGAGCACTGCTCTTGACACTAGAAATAGAGCTCTAAAGAATACTAATATGCACAGGTGTATTAACTGGGAATTTAATAAAGCCTACTCTTTGGGACTCTGAGAATTTAATGAGGCTTATGCTATCGGATTCTGGGGAGGTCCCATAGCAGTGTATGCATAGGGTCATATGTTTTTATATTCGTCAGCTTCCATAAGTTTCTACTTTGTTAGAATTTCTTTTAATAAGTGAACATAAAATTTTCACTTATGTATGGGTGTAGATATTTTTATTCTTAAAGAGGCCCCCCAAAGTATATGTTTCAGGCTTCAAAATACCAATATTTGAATCTACCTCTGCTGATCTGGCTTTCCCAAATGTAAGAGCTTAATGGGAGCAATGATAATTCAAAATAAAAAGATAAATATAGAAATCAGTATAAAATATTATGACTGTTAAGATAAGGAAGTATATAACACTATAGAATACATTGTGGGTGCTCCATACCCAGTCTAAGAGGTCAAAGACAGCCTCTAGGAAGAAGTGATATTTAATCTAAAACTTGAATGAAATAAAAGCTAGCCAGGCAAAGAAGGGAAGGAAGAGCATTTCAGCAAGGGAAACAATTTTCATGAAGACAGAGTCAAATGGAAGGGTTTTATCATAGCCTAGTCATTAAATTGTTGAAGTTCAGGGGAAGTAGAGATAAATGGAGCTGAATAGGGAATCAGGGGCCGGATTTTGTACAGCTTTATAAACAATTTTAAAGAATCTAAACTTTACCCCATAGGATAAAAACATTAAAAAAACAAAACAAAAATTATGGGCATGGAAAAAAGACAAGTTGCGTAAATCCTTTGGGCTAGTGGTTTGGATGTTACAATCAATAATAAAAAAGATGTAGAACTCTGTATAAATAATACATAGTAATGGTATGGATCAGGGTGATGATGTTGGGATGGAGAGTGGAGAAATTCAAGTGGTATTTAAGAGGCAGAACTGACTAAACCTAATGATTTTTTTACAATGAGAGAAAGAGAAAACTCAAGGGTAACTGCTAGGGTTTTGACTTTAATAACTGATTGTACAGTGGTACTATTTGTTGTTGGGTTTTCAAACATGGATGAGAAGCAAGATTGCCAGTCTGGACCTGGTTAAGAGGAAAGGCAAAGGGGTGGGGGGGATAAAGAGTTCCGATTTGAACATCTTAAATTTAACATTACTGTTAGATATCCAAATAGAGGTGTTCATTGAGGTACTTGATAAATAAGCCAGGATTTTAGGGCAGAAATCCACACAGGAGACAAATCTGAGAGTGGTCAACACAAATCTGGAATGTAAATCTATAATCAACCCTTCATGAGATCATATTGAAGTTAGTAATAAAAAAAGGAAGTCAAGGATATTGGATTGTGGGATACACTAACATTTAGGGTCAAGGAGATAGGTAACGACAGAAAAACTGAGGAGAAATGTGAATTAGGTGTTCCAGAAGCCAAGTCAAGAAAGATTTTCCGAAAGAGTGACCTATTTTTTTAAATGCTGAGTTTAGTAATGTGGGAATCATTGGTAACTTCAACAGGGACAATGTCAGTGGAGTAGACAGTGAGAAAACATAATTGGAGTGAGAGTGATCAATACCGGATGGTTGAAATGAAGAAGCTGGGGGCATAAAGTGTAGAGCCTTATTTACTGAAAGAAAGCCACTGAAGAGCAACATTGGCATCACCAAGAGTTTCTTAGAAATGTAGAATTTCAGACTTTACCCCAAATCCACAGTGGCAGGCAGCCTCTAAGATTGAGTCCCAATGCCTCCCAATGCCCCTTTGTGTAAATCCCTCCTCTTAAATAGAACACAAAAGTGACGAAGTACTATTTTTGAGAATAAATTACACAAAGTGTCTGGCTCTGTTTTGCTTTCTCTTTCCCATTTCTACCCTCTGTGTCTTGGAGCAAGCGGCTATGTTGTGAGCTGCTCTTTGGAGAGACTCATGTAGCAAAGCACTGATCTCTTCGACCAACAGCAAGCAAAGACAGGAGGGCTGCCAGCAGCCAACGGAGGGAGCTTGGAAGTGGATTCCTCCCCAAGTCAGCCTGAAGATGACTACAGTTCCGACCAAGTCCTTGACTGCAGCTATGGGCAAGATCCTGAGCCAGAGGTACCTACCACGGCTATGTTCAAATAAATGTTTGTTGTTTTAAGCCACTAAGTTGTTTGCTTTTTAAATATTTTTATTGATTTCAGTGAGGAATGGAGAGGGAGAGAATCATCAGTGATGAGAAAGAATCATTGATCGGCTGCCTCCTGCATGCCCCACACTGGGGATCAAGCCCACAACCCAGGCATGTGCCCTGACTGGGAATTGAACCGTGACCTCCTGGTTTATAGGTAGACACTCAACCACTGAGCCATGCCAGTTGTGCAGCCACTAAGTTTTGAGATAAGTTGTTAAGGTAGCAAGGATATATGCTCTGAGTTAGAATTAAAATTTTAATAAGAACCGCACATGATATGTTTTCATTTGAGAAGGGCAGAAGTTAACAATTGCAATGAGGTGTTCTGCGGTAGTTTATGAAAAATGTATGATAAATAAAACTTTATTTAGAAGGCATATACTTGTAAAAATTATAGCATGGTTCTATGCCAAAGAGAAAGAACCAGCAAATAAGGAGAAAACAATGATAAGGGGGGTTGATTGATGTTACATAATAGGAATTTACTTACATTTGATATTTTTAATATTTAATCTAGAAAACATAAAATTTATCAAGTAAAGGGAATTTTAGATGTTTAAATGCTGAATTTGTATTTACACAAACCTTAAATAAACATTATAAGACAGCTATTAGTTTTGACAATTTAAGTACTTAAAATATAATTCATTTATAATTTTCATTTAATGAATATAATCTTAAAATTAACTACAGCAGAAGTATAGAGGCTTTGGTGCTCTTCACAGTGATAATTCATTTTATTTAATTTACTTTCCCTGTTATGAATTAATCAATTAATAAGCACTTATAACATCTACCATGTGACCAGACATTTGCTTGGCAGTGTGGGAGACAACAAACAACAAAACACAACACAATAAAACTTTGTCTCTAAAACACAGCTATCTTTACTAATTAAGTGTTTATTTGAGCAGTAGGGACAATCAGTGAGCATATAGGAGTTAAGGGAAAACTTTTCTCTTTACAGAATAAAGGTATAAATAATGTTGAGCTTGGCCTTCAAAAATGTGCAGTTGGAAGGGAGGAGAGATGTTTTAGGTAAGGTGAAATGTGTCAAAGTTTGACTAGGACATGCTGAAGGAATAGAGAGAAAGACAGATTACGTGATAGGTGATAGAATAGAGAGAAAAGAGATTGAAGGCAGGGAGTTGGGAAATTTTACGTACTTCAGACTTGAGTGTTTTTGGATATGAAACAGCAATGGATGTAAAATAAAGTTTTAACAAGTATCATTAAAGAAGTTAGGTAGTAGGAGGTCTTAAACATGATCCTGGAACCCAGGGATAAAGACTTACTCATCAATTTGGATTGATAGCAAACATCTGCATAGTTGTTTTGAGCACTTGCAAATTACTAGCATCTAATTGTGAATAACAAATTAAGTATTATACATTAGTACATTTGAGACTCATTTTGGTTAAAATCTGAACTATTCTATAACATTAAAAAATGCATAGATTAGAATCTTATCTTTCTTCGTTTCCTAAGTTCATTAATGTATACGT